ATCAGTAAGTGATGTGTATGTGAGTGTGTGTGTGTTTGTGTGTACATTGTATATATATATATATATATATATATATATATATATATATATATATATATATATATATATACACATATATGTGTGTATGTGTGTGCATTCACGCACGCACAGTTATAATAAAAGGTAACATACATACATACATACATACATACATACATACATACATACATACATACACACACACACACACACACACACATAAATATATTATATTTATATCTATCCATATCTATCTAACAATCTCTCTATATATACATACATACATATATATATGTATATATATATATATATATATATATATATATATATATATATAGAGAGAGAGAGAGAGAGAGAGAGAGAGAGAGAGAAATAGACATTACACATCATGGTTCTCTTCGTTCATGAGTGGTTCCCAATTTATGCCATCAAAGAAATCTTCAAGGCTAATTACCTAACTTGTAATTGTACTCTCATTTTCTTTCCTTACGACGATTTTCTTGTAGCAGACAGTATCTTAATCTAATTACTACATGGTCACTTTTTAATAGAAGAGGACAGTACTCTTTACCCTTAATGCCATCTTTATTCTTTGTAAATATTAGGTCAAGCATATACGGTCTACCTAGCACTCTTACCCTGGTATGATCTGTTATATTTTGGAAAAGACAAAGTTCATTTATGACTGTTAGTAATTTTGCATTCTAAGAATCTGGTTAAGCTCTGGGATCGAAACTTTCCCAATCAATGTTGCTATTAAATTTCATTACAAGAGTTTCTTTTGCACTAGTTTCCGAAAGTTGTAGCACTTCTTCCAGGCTTTTTGACATTTCTTGAATTAATTTTTGGTAATTTTCTTTTGCCACACCGATGTATAAGGTGACGTGTACACTTTGGTCATTATATTTACTACGGGGCCCTGCTTAACCTCCATTCCTTCCTTGTTAATATCACTACCCCCGCCATTCCCATTTGCCTTATCTTTTCTCTTGATATTATAGTCCCTGAGTCCTAATGTTATATCGTCTATGGAGGATCCAGTTTAGATTCAGTGATGCATATTCACCGGTTTATTAATTTCAATAATTGTATCTTTGTATAAGCTATTTCTTTATAATCTTTCGTCATACCTTTTGGCTGC